CGGTGGGTCGGGTCACCCGTCTGCTGCCCCGGCTCTGGCCAGGGCTCCTCGGCCGCTGGGGCCCAGCACGAGCGCGTCCTCCTCTGACTCCTACTCGCCACTGGCCGCCAGGGGTTCACCCGTCAGCCGTGCGCGCTGCTCGGGGCTGCCGCTGGGCCCCAGGACCCCTCCGCGCTCTCTCCTCCCCTCGGTGCCAGGCCGCCCTCCAGCTGCCCACCGGGCAGCACTTCCTCCAGGAAGCCTTCCCTGCTTGCTCCGGGGGGGGGAGGGGGCGCGGCCCTCTGGTGTTCACCCAGTGCTCAGTCCTGACCTAACAGGCGTCCACTGAGCACCTCTGTGTGCCAGCCCCGGGGACACGGCCAGAGCCCAGCCCAGGAGCAGCAGGGCCAGCAAACTGGCCGCCATGGGCCGGGGGTGGGTGTCGGGGCGAAGTGTAAGCTGGGCAGTGCCGTGAAGCACCGTCCGCTCAGAAACTCCCGGGGGCGGCCCCACCCCGTGCCCGGTCTCGGCACACCTGCAGGGGGCGCCCCCCACACTCCAGGGACGCAGCGGACACTTCCGCGGTAAGCTGCTGGAGCAGCTGGGGGTGGGGTCCGGGGAGCCCTCAGTTCAGGACCTCTTTGAGGGTGCCATGTGGGCTGATCCCCAAACTTCCCAGGCCAGGCCACTGAGAGGGAGGTGTTCAGGGCGCCGCTTCCTGAGCCGGGGGCCTGAGGCGTGGGAGGAAGTGGCCAGGCGGGCGGGAGGGCGAGCCTGGGGGCTGGGTCTCTCCCACAGGACACCCTGCTCATCGGAGGCTCTGTGCTGTCTCACACCTACCGTGTGGCGGCTGACACGGGGGTGACCACTTCCCCGCCCGCCCCTGCACGTCCTCCCCGCTGTACAATGGGGACAGGCAGGGGCCCGGTGTGGGACCCTGGCCAGTGTCCGGCGAGCCGGGCCAACCCCACCCTGGCCGAGCTCCCGCGCCCCTGCAGGTGTCCGGTGGGGGTGGGCGAGGGCAGAGCTGCTGCAGAGCTGCTGACCGAGCACGTGTGTGCGGGGCCCGTCAGCGGGCAGGGGCAGCGCTGGCCCGAGCGCCCTCCTCTCCGGCCCTCTGCTCCCGGGGAGGGGGCCCCGCCCTGGGCTGCTCCTGGCGCCTGGCTCTCCCCAGCAGCCCAGCCCTGCACCGGGACGGGCCCGGGGAGGCGGGCCCGGCGCGGAGGCCTGCGTGTGCAGAGAGGCCAGCTGTGCAGCTGTGCAGGAAGCACCTCCGGAAGCTTCCGGGCCTCACAGGTGGCACCCCAGGGCCTGCTGTGGTGTCCCTCTCCTTCCCGCGGCCACGGGCCCTGGACCCAAGCCTCAGGTTCCAGAGGCCGGGCAGGCCGGGGGCGGCCGAGTCCTCCGCGTGGCTGCCCAGC